CCTACACGAGATGAGGCAGGATAAAGAGGGATAATCCCCCTCGATCCCAAATCATTGAGGCCAATTTCTAGCCATAGAATAATGGCGCGGTCTAGCGTCTAGCTTTTATCAATGCCATTAAAAACAAAATGTCTTAAGCTAAGTACAGACTTGCAACTGCGCCGCGTTGCAAACCGCGCCGTTGCTGTGTGGACAGGGACTAGAACTCCGAACCGCGCATATTTCCGTTCGACGAACGGTTCTCGCTCGATCCACTTGAAGTCGGTTGGTTTTTCGACGTCGCATCAAAGGAATTGCGCGGTTTGACGTTGCACAAGTCTGGACAAGTCGACAGATATTTCGGCGAACAACGACCGTTTATTTAGTAGCAACGATTGTTTTCTTATTTGAGGTCCCATGCCATTTAAAAGATACTGAAAATCAATAGGGGACATTATCACAAAATTTTTGTAACGCCCACTGACATGTTGAAACTGCAAGTCTCGAAGCAAATTGGAGTGTTCTTGATGTCTTTTCGCACAGCGCTATCTTCTACGTTTTCTCGTTTTTTTTTTCCTGGCTACTACATCTTTATGGATATAAATATAAGCTGTTGCAGCTACATTCATGAAGATTTTCAAACTAAATTAATGGAAACGATATGAACGTGCGCATAAACACGTTCTGTTCGGCGCTCAGCACTACATTTTTTCGGCCTTCAACATGGGACAGTACACTGGTGCTGTCTTCCTGGACGTCGCAAAGGCCTTCGATACGGTTTGGCATGAAGTCCTACTGATGAAAATGCTCACCAACCAATATCCCATATCCTTTACCAAACTCATAAAATCCTACCTACACCACCGAAAATTCCGCATCCAAATCCAAGATTCCCTTTCCACCACCCGTCCCATGGAGGCCGGTGTCCCCCAGGGCACCGTCCTGTCCCCACACCTATACACCATTTACAACTCCGACATCCCACATCCCCCCAACACCAACATATACTTATACGCCGACGACCTGACAATCACATCCCAATCCGTAGATCCTAGATATTCCGTCTACCTCCTCCAAAGCTCCTTAGACCAACTTGAAACCTGGTGCAACAGGTGGAAAGTCAAAATTAATCCCAACAAAAGTTCGGCTATCCTTTTTACCAAACGAAAAATCCCACAAAACCTCGACAGACTGACACTATCCCAGGAACCCATCTCCTGGAATCGACAAACACGATACCTGGGCGTGACGATGGACCAGCGTCTCACGTGGAAACCGCACATCGTGGAGACGGTGGCGCGAGCGAAGACCACCAGGGCTAGGCTCTATCCCTTACTCAAAGGTGGAAACACCCTCAGTTTAAGGAATAAGCGAACGCTTATCAAGGTGGTACTTCAACCGCAGCTAACCTACGCCTCCACGGCGTGGGGTCACGCGGCAAAAAGCCACTTAAAGTCATTACAGGCTGTGGAAAACATAGCCCTCCGCACGGCCACCGACGCGCCCTGGTACGTAAGAAACACTGACATATTACGAGACTTACAATACACAAACGCTACACAGACAATAAGACAAAACGCGGAGAAACGATTTGACGTAGCCGCTAGACATGACAATCCCCTCCTCAGGCAAGCCGTTGACTACGTACCCGACGTGACCGACAAACACAAAAGACCTAGACACCAACTTTTTGACCCTGGGTGACCACCCCAATGACCCCCCCCCTGCCCGCTAACCTTTTCTGTTTCAGAGACAGCCAGGATCAAGAAACGAAGACAACGACACACACACACACACACACACACACCCCCCATACCCTCCTTAACCCTCCCCTCCCGCGCTAGCCTAAGGGCCACCTTAGCAAAGCGCATCCCAGGCTGCATAGCCGCACTACCCTACCCAACCATACCACACATAAACATGACACTACCCCCGGGGTTTACACAGACGAGCCGGCGAAGCAAGAAGAGCGCCAGAAGAAAGGGCCCTAGCCGGCGGGGCCCAGCCAGGACAAAAGGAGGTCCCACAAAGCGCCTACACCGGCCGCATTTGCGGTCGGGGTAGACGACGGATGGGGCCCACCTACGAAGGCTGTCCAGGCCTACACGAGATGAGGCAGGATAAAGAGGGATAATCCCCCTCGATCCCAAATCATTGAGGCCAATTTCTAGCCATAGAATAATGGCGGTATCAACGGAATCAATTATTTTCGTTTAATAGTAAAAAATGGAAATAGTTCCTTCATAACTTGGTAAGTTGAACAGTAAATAAATGTTTGCAATCTAATTTTAATCAACAGGTTGTCACACACCGGATTTTTAATTTGGATCTGATTGGCGATTGGCTCATAGATTTTGAATTGTGTAACGAAAAGGGATCGATTACGTAGGTTATCTTTTGAAGCAGAAGAGTAGAAGAAGAGAAATAAATAAATATGGCTTCCTGTCTATGGTGTGTATGTGGAACGAAATAGTATTTTCCGTATTTTCTGTGAATTGTTTCTAATTATGAAGTGCAGTGAAATAAAATGATTAAACTATATCTGTGAATTAAGACAATATAACCTAAAAATATATATGCATAAATGTGAAATATTCAAAATGTTTAGATTTCTAAGTGGCAGGAAAGCTAGACATACATCCAACGAAGTTGACAATATTAAATCGCATAAAAATTTACACAAAAATTTGATTCAGTGCAGGGTAATATTATTAGATGGGACGGATTTATCGGTCGAATTATCAGTAAGTAAATATTCACGTATCTTAGAATTTACATTGATTTTTTTGGAGGGTACTGCAACATTTTTTAAACTCATTTTCTATTTCTAGTACAGTATACCTAATCTAGGGTCATATAAAACATAGTTTTATTCATTCGTTAGAGAATATCCTTTCTAAAATATATTAAGTAAGGTCACAAATAAAATGTTAAAATGTCACTGTTTGACATTGACTATTAGTAAATTCAAGACATTTACTCTATCATTTAAAAGTAATACAATTTTTTCTAATTATTTCCCTTAAAAACGTTATAAAAACAAACGGTTAAGGAATTCCCATGATTTCTGTTCGTAAAAATATATCCATATTGTAGGTGCCTACCTAAGATTAATGAATATATTATATATTTTATTATTTTACTTATCACAAAAAATGCAGATTGATACAAGTTATTAATATAATAATTTAAAAACAAATGGAGCAAAAATATTTGTATTTTAAATAGATCCTAAAAAAGGTCTATATATATATGGAATTAATAATTTATTATTAAATTTAATCCATATCCTCCACCCTTTGGAATGGCTTACTTCCAGTTTTTTTTTAATTATTAAAGTTATTAAAGAGTATTTGCAAGAAATTTGTAATTGTATTTTTAAATTTTATATACATATTTAAAAATAAATATATTTTAATTGGTATGGGTGTATTTTGAGAGGTACTTATAAAATAATGGAATATAAGAATTAAAATTATTGTTGCTGCTGCTGATATTTCTTAAAAATTGATCATTAAAAGACAACATGCATGATTTTCAGATCTATTTAATAAGAAAAATTGAGCTTTGTGTGATTTTTACTCAAGTTAATGGTTAATTGTAATAAATCAGGACATCCATCCTGTATGTTTGTTTTCGTTTTCTCTTAATTTTTTTTTCTGTGCTGGTTGTACCTATTGTTGGATTACGTAAATACATTTTAAACACAACTGTTCAAATATTTCTTTTTGAGAAAAATAAATGTTTTGTCAGATTAGAAAATTAGAGATCTTATATAATATTCTGTACTATGCTATTGTTGTTTACAGATTTCTAAATCTCGGCACATAAAAAGAATTACGAACTATATTACTATTCTCAAAGTTGATAAATTTTATTCAATTTACAAAAATGCAGAAATGTGATTTTGTTTCAGAAAAAGGCAAAAGCTAGAGATTTATACGAGCAGGTATTTTATTCGTTAGATTTAATAGAAAAGGATTATTTTGGATTGCAATTTACTGATGCAAATCACGTTAAACATTGGCTGGATCCAACAAAACCTATAAAGAAACAAATAAAAAGTGAGTGTGAGAATATAAGGTATTTTAGAATTTTATAAAGATTTTTTTTAGTTGGCCCTCCTTACACTTTAAGACTAAAAGTAAAATTTTATTCCTCTGAACCAAACAATTTACGAGAGGAGTTAACGAGATACCAATTCTTTTTGCAACTTAAGCAAGATATACTCGAAGGAAGGTTGGAGTGCCCCTATGAAACGGCTGTAAAGTTATCTGCCTTTGCCTTACAATGTAAGTAAATTTTTGTAAAAAATTTGTTTATCGTAGACACAATAAAAAAAAACACTTCCTCAGGGAACTAGTTACATTAAGACAAAAACATTTGCAAAAAGAAATTAAGAACTTTATGAATTAAACAAATCTGAAATACAATCAACACACACATAGATATATAATAGGTATTTTAAAAATGTGCTATACCTAAAAAAAAATAAATTAGTAAGGAGAAATACAAGTCGAAATATCACACTGTAGAATTGCCATTTTCATTAAAAAGTATATAAAAAGTGATATGACGTGCTTTTTTTATCTAGAAGAATATTGTCTGAAATTGCCTATTAAATCCAGGAATTGAGATAAAGACGTAATTCAAGATAAGGATTTCGTTTAATGTAAATTAAATAATTTAAAGAGATTTGGGACATGCTAATAAATAATTATCAATTTTCCGTTCAAATAGGTATATCGGCTTTATAGGAAAAGTTCAAATTTTTATATTGTAGTTTTGTAAGAACATCGTTATGGATTGGTCAAATGGTCACCATATTGTAACATCCATTTTTAAGATAATATGAATAGATTACTAAGCAGGTGAGTATTAAGACAATACTTGATGGACTGTGTTCTCTGCTTGGCATGTTTAATTTTTTTTGTTGGCAAACAATGGAAAGTAAGTTGTATTCTGTGTGCTTTTCATGGAGAAATTGCGGTTTTTACAATATTACATTTACTGTCATCAAGTCAAGTCTCTCATCATTAGCTATATTAAGGATATTAATGAACATTAAGATAAATATGGATTAGTGATTCTCAAAGGTATTTTTTTATTATTGGTGTTTTGTTAGAGGTACTCTTTCAAACTATTTAAAATGTGTTTCAAAATAATCTGTAGGTACATTTTTTATAATATAGTACGATGTGATTAAAAGAATTGAGAACCACTGATAATATAAAATTATACAAGAATTTCACAGTGTTACACATGATTAAACTCTGTATACAGAATGGTTTGATTTTTTTATTAAACTTTAGCAATTAGGAATATTATCAAAAAATTATGATAGTTTGCTATATAAGTTTTTTTTTTAATGACACACGTCTTATAACTATTAATATGGATTGTCTGACTGATGCCAAATTGGATGCCCAGGGGTAAAAGAATACGGCTGATTTGATGAAAGCTATTGCATTGTTGTCAGATTGGTACTGTTTCAGATATAATAAGAAACTTTTATTTTTAATGGAAGGTTATGTGTTTTTAGGTAAAAAAAGCTTTTTATCCATTTATTCATACATGTACAATTTAACACAATTATTGTTGTTTGTAGCTATAATTATTTTTAGAACATCATGTTTGTATTATATGCGAACTCATACTTTAAAAATATTTTGGAGTGAACATAGTGTTTTATATCAAAATGCCATTGTAAACAACCTGTAGAGCAGTGTGACTTGAATTATTTTTATCTTTTTCAAAAACCTTTTTAAATGGGTGTCACACTTTCAAAAATATGCCGTAACTAAAAAAGTGTCAGAACCACTAATATAATAATATGGTAATTAAAACATTATATATAGGGAGGTTTTTTTATCAAGTTTTAATAACTGGTAGAGTATCTAATAGTACGTAATTATATATATTTTTTTTGTAATGAGACATCCCCTAGGTAAGTGGGCATGGTTGATTTCATGAAAACAATTGTATTGTTGCCAAATTGCTACTATTTCAGAGAAAACTTAATATTTTTAAATTAAATTCCACATAATTACATTTGTCTGAGATTTTGGTAAGTCGATTTCTAATAATAAGAGAGATATGTCCGAGGGGTAAACCGCTGAGGAAGTTTTTGTACATGTCCCCAGGAAGTCGGGAAGCAGTTGGAGGAAGTTATAAGGAAGTTGAGCAAGTTGAAAGGAATTCCGAAGGAAGTCGGGGAAGTTGAAAGGAATTCCAAGGAAGTTGGGGAAGTCTGGAGGAAGTCAGGAAGTTGGAACCAAAGTGGGCATGCGTGAACAGAAACGCATGCGCAGTATTATCTTTTATAGAAAAATGAGGAGAATGTTAAACATTTACGTGGGGGAATTACGAAGCAATCTAGAGAAGGTCCGAGGAAGTTTGACGAAATATAGAGAAGTTTTTGTACAGAATTCAGGGAGCGGTTTACCCATCGGATATGTCCAAAGGAATATGGACTGATTCTGAATAAATTGTACTCTTCTATACATACAATTAATATAGACCTAAATCTATTATTTGCTTCTGAAAGAACATTCTAAATTCAATGTGAAATTAAAAAAAATAACATTACATTATTATTTCAAAAGTAAATGTGGTAACACTTGGAATAAATGGTACACCCAGTATAATTTTAAAATATGTAGACACTTAATCAATTAATCTTTTATTAGGAAATGATAACGTTATCAATAAAAATATGTAAAATTTCAACAATAAAACGTTGTGCATTTGTAAAATATTCGAAAAAAAAATTTTTTTTTGTGAATACTAACACCTCTGTCTTCAGGGAATGTTCGGACCGGTCAAACTTGTTCAGCGGACAAATATTTCGTTGGTCAGCCCAATCAGCTGATTGGGAATATTGGGCAGGTTTTAATACAGTTAATAAAAGCCGTTCAGAGAATTGTTTGACTAAAGAAGTTTGACCAAACTATTCCGACCATTCGCTGAACACAGCCAGTGTAAATATAACAGTAACTATATTTTCATAAACCACCTGTTCTTAAAGTTTAATACAAAAATTAATTACACCATATCCAAACATTTTGTAACCATATTTGAAAACTTTTCTATTCCTTATAAAGTTCATTAAAGATTATTGTGTATTTATCTTTCTGCAATTATGTGTATTTATGCATGTGCTATCATTAAATTTCCATATAATTTTTATTTAATTGTTTGATTGAATATATAATACTTGGGTTTCTCAATTATATATTACATAATGTTGAAGTTGTGTCAAGGAAATAAGAGTGCAAGAAGGGGTATAAGCTCCAATATCTAAATTGTTCAGAAGAGGCAAATGATATTTTTTAAGTTACTTTTTTATTTGTGTTGCTATATCATTTGGCTAAATAAGTATAAAGTTTGCATCCAAATTAGAGTGAAATATTCGTATAAATGATGTGTCCAAACAGTCATTTATAGTGACAGAATCAATATGTGAATGCCTTACAATTTTAATCATAAGGTCATAAGAAGGTGGAAGAAATAAGGGTTGATTTATCGAAACAAACTGGATTTAATTAAATCCTTTAGCAACAGCCAAACACATGTTTCATACCTTAGCAACATGTGAAATAAGTGACATATAATTTATCATTTTCTAGCACCAGGCCATAGGAAGGGAAAAGTGATTATTTCTTATAGTTTGTTTTCTATAGCTTCTGTTTGTCAAAAAAGGTTTATTTTTAAACTTATCTGTGCAAAATTTTAATTTTTCAAATATAACTTATTCCCTCATATTACATCAAGTCCTCAAACCCTGTTTAATAGTATCAAGTAATAGTACCAAGACCTGTTTAATAGTATCGATAACACATAAGATAAACGGGATACTCTCATTTAATAGTAATGTTTAATCAGAATGTTCTTTTACTGACAACTGTTTGGGAAGAGATGTTCTAGTGTCATCGGCAAATAAAATTACATTATTACTTGATTCACAAATACGTAAATCATTTTTTATGTATATTAAAAAATAGAACAAGATGTAATATAGTTGACATATTGCTTATTAAATTAATGTTGTTCCAGTTGAAGTTGTAAATAGTAACAGTTGGCAACAAGCATTGTCATGCGGCTAGATTTAAATATCTCTGGGATACTGATGACTTGTATTACTAAAAGATATTTACTTTTCTGATATTTGTAGGAATTTTTTTTAATGTTAATTTTTACCTATAAGTTTGCAATTAAATATACAGGGTGTCTCATAATTAGCTGCCAACCCTGAACAGGCCGATTCTATGATCAAAACTAAGTAAGAAAGTTCATATGAACATGAGTCCGGAAATGCTTCCTAAGGGCACAGGGACCCATTGAAGAGGGAGGAATGGAAATCATTTTTTTGCAATATCTCTCAATCGCGTTGTGATAAATGAATGAAATTTGGTATACACAGCTAAATTTTGATGAGCAATTTGATGGACTAATCCATTTATTTCCACAAGGTCCATTGAGGTGGGTACGGGGGGCCCTTGGTACTTTGCGTGTGTAACTTTTTCATCTTTGACTTTTTAACAAATTGGACAGCAAATTTCGTTTTCCCGAACTGTTGTATGTTAAAAAGGTACTCTTGTTTCAAATTGTTATCTTCAAGTTTCTGAGAAAATCGCTCTTGAATTAATCCCACTTTGGTCAATTTCATAGTAATTTAAACAAAATTATCAAGGTATTCTTATGTCAAAGTATTGTCAACCCGATTGCCAATTTAATAGTTCTAAGCCAAAAAAAATGGAAGAGTTTACGGGACAAGAGTTAGTTGATATGATATTTATTTATTTCTTTTGCGATGGTAATACTGCAGCGGCAAAACGCGAGTACGGGAGAAGATTTCCAAACCGAAGGCTGTCATCAAGGCGGACATTCCCTACGGTATTCCGCAACTTAGCTGCAACCGCCACTTTTCGAAAGGCACCGGGTCAAGGACGTCCCAGGATTAATAGAGAAGCGGAGGTCCTTGACACTATTGAACAAGATCCTACGACTAGCATATGGAACATTTCAAGGCAAATAAATGTTCCTCGGCCAACGGTACTACATATCTTAAAGATTTCCTTAACAGAATTGATTAGATGTGCTACTAACATTTCAGGTTGGAAGAATAT